TTCCTCTAGTCTGTTCTTCACGAGCTCTTGTTAGGCGTTGGATTATTATTGAAGCCAATATATTCGATACTATATAGGCTAGTCTGATTCCTCTGTGATCATCACAAGAGGACTTTTGTACATTTTTATAAATTGGTACAATCAGCGGTTGAGACCAGTCAGATGGGATTACGTCCAGTTCCCAGATTCTACCTAAGATCTCGATCAATCTAACTGCTAAAATTGGACCACCATCTTTGAGATCGTGGGCAACGGAAGTGTGGCTGAAGACCAGTTGAATTGATCCCTGAAATGTCCTGCCTATCGATCCAATCTCCTGGGTTGAGAATGAATGATAAAGCCATCCTTTTCTGAGATAGTTTCGCTAACAGATGGAATTCTAATACCGGTTTCCTTGACGAGTCTGAATAGTTGTCTACTGCCTCTGCGTTTTCCATCGCTCTTGCTTTCGCTACCTACCACTGTTCACGGTCATTGTGTAGGCTCTTTATCAGCCTGCGCTTAAGCTGTCTTCGCTTTTCATCGTGTTCAGAGCCAGGTGGGATGATTTTTCGAGCATCCATCAGTTCGGTGGATGCTACTGAGATCCATGGGCTTCTTCCTAGGCATATGGTTTACCTTACTAGCAGATATCACTGCTCTTTCCACAGCTTTTTGGATATCATTCCAAGCTGCCTCAGGATGGGGATCACTCACTGTGTCTAGTAAGTCGCAAACAAATACGTGCTCGCACTAGAACATGATCTGAATCCAAACATGTGCCCCAGAACGAGCGACATAGTCACCAGCCATTATTACTATATCAGAGTGCCTAACCTTTAGCAGGAGGTCCGAAAGCTTTCTGTGGAACTCATCTTTCACATCGTCTGAACTGCAGTCAGTGAGGGTGTAGGTAAATACGACGAAGAGGTAACGGCGAGTGTCCTTTTCTTTCTCGGTCTCTACTGTCCCGTTCAGTCAGACAGCGCACAAGCGAGACCATCTGCTGGGATCCAGTCTAGGAGAGATAGTTCTGCTCTGCGAATAAATGCTATATCTACACCAGCGAGACCCCGAGAAACAGCACACGAAGAGTAAATCTAGCCAGTTCTTTCTTTTGAAAAGGTGACGTCGAATGAATGGCATTACTCGGATTCTGCATGTGTTTAGGAGACGCAGCGTGCATCGATGGCGCGAGATTTCAAAGTCCTAGTTAAGGAAGCCTATTGCCCTATTTGAAACAATATCCGGACATTAAATGCTCCGATATGTAGTCTAGAACGGGATTTCAGGAGACCAGTAATAACGTTTGGTGAACTCGCATCGTTTGCATTATAATCGATCTGGTCTCGCATGCTGTTATGTGTGAGGGTAGATGTCATTTCCGGCTGCTCACACCGTGGATAGGTGTTTCTTGAAGAACCTCAAAAAGGAAGGTAGATTAGTGTTAGCTTGAACGACCTGGGAGCGTAACTGCAGAGCCAAAGGGACAATTGCTTCAGGTCGGTCACGCACGGCCTTTTTATTATGAGTATTTGCAGTGTTGGCTTCTCTCTTGTTCAAAAGCCCCTACCGCCGGAGACGGAAATCCGTGAGGTGAGGTGTGACATTGTTAGGGTCGACCTTTTTTTACCCATTAATTTCTTGTGAGAAGGCAGCATCACTCCAGATGCTGGTTATCCGAGGGAAAACACCTTACTGTTGTCACACCTCTCTGCTGTCTGCAGCACTACTCCGCCCTTAGAACTTGAATTGTTGCTTTTCGTCTCATCGTTCTCCAGTCGACCTGCCTAGAATGGTAGAACCTACAAGAACATATGCTCCAACCAATATAGCCCGGTTAGGTGATCACGATAGTCAAGCCCGACCACCACGTCAAGGTAACAGCTACGGCCGGGGGGATGTCATCAAGTCGGATGACAACGCTTTAAACACTCCCACAGTGGTGAGTTTAGGATCTATCCCACGTTAGCGGAAACAACCAGTGAAGATCGTCAACACATGTTTCAGGAACTAACGTAGGGTTGAAATCTGATGTCTTCATAGTTATAAGTACGGATGGATATATCCCGTTTGTTGTTTCGAAGTATCAGTTAAGTATGAAACATTTACCTTTCAAAACTTTTGATCACATATCTAATTTCTTAAGATTAACGTAATATTACTGTCTTTATGCTTAGAATGGGTTCATTAACATAATACCAGTTTGGATTATTAACTTCGTGTATTCTGATTAAATTTTGCTAAGAAAACCTATATCATAAAGTACACTTTTTACTATCAAACTGGTTTTGGACTTGCGGCCAAACCAAAGCATGGCACAAATCCATGAAGTCACTAACAAGTGGATTGAGTCATGTTAGATGTTGACTATCTGGTGGGGGTTCGCGAGACGAAAGTCACCGATGATTAGAGACCTTGAACGACAAGGCTCAAAATCGTTTACAATGGCGCAGGTGCATCCACTCTTTGTGTTCTCTAAAATTCTAACGTTATCTCTGTCTTTCTATTCCTAGTTATTTCACTGAATTATACATCTTGAATCATATCTTCGACCCGTAATCTTCTCCATTACTGCGAATACTTCTACTACATATACTATGGGATTTGAACTGACAGTTGCGTCTTTGTGCTGATACGGTATAGTAACTTGAATTGATGTACGAAGACCTACGCTGTAACTGACTGTCTTAGTTTTTTCATAAAAATGGATTCATCACGGAGTGAAAAGAATAACACTGCTAAGAAACGTCTACAGGAATTTCTGTATCGTGGGAAAGACGAGTAAGCATTGCTGTTGTTAGTTAACGGGTGCCAGGTAAGGATGGGAGGTTAATGGATGAAGTTATGAAACTTCATCAGTTGAGGTGGTTGGGACATGTGTTACGAATACCTAACCACCGACTGCCTCGACGAGCTGTTTGTGATTTAGAAGTAGGTTGAAAGAAAGCTAAGGGCGGCCAAACCAAAACAAGGCACAAATACATGAAGTCACTGACAAGTGGACTGAGTCATGTCGGTAGGTGTCGACTACTTGGTTGGGGTCCGCGAGATGATAATAATCAACGGTTAGAGACCCTGAGCGACGTGGCTCAAAACCGTTTGCAATGGCGCAGGTGCATCCATTCGTTGTGCTCTCTCAAATCCTAATCTTCTGAATTCGTCTGCACCTCTACCATTGTCTTTCCAACCTTATCTCACTGAATTATACTTCTTGAATAATATCTTCAAACCCTAGTCTTCTTCATTACCATTAATACCTATACTATCTTTATCACCATTGGATTTAAAATGACAATAGCGTCTCTGTGCTAATGTGGTATGGCAACTTGATCTGATGTACTTACGTACAAAGTTCTACGTTGTAACTGACTGACTGACTGACTGATAGGAATTTCTGAGTTTCAGTAGAACTGGCTGAACAAATTAAATGAAAGGTTTCTTTCTGACTCAATGTGTTATCACACTATAGCTACAAGTCCACGGGAAATGTTTACTAAATCTTTAGGCAGCTACAGGACTGACTGAATGTGAAAACAATTAATAATTATACGTTGTTTTGGTAAATGAAGCTTCAAAACAACACAACTCTACAGAACAAAGTGCTAGTTCTTCTTTTTCAATTATTTAAGACCTCAATGATCATCAGTTGACAGATAATACAACAAACTAATGATACAGGATTTCATTGAAAAACTCCTAAGATAATACAGTTAGAACTTTTTAGAAGCCTACAAACGCTAGCATCGATAACGAATATAGATTTGACTACTTATTATTCTTTAAACTATATCTCGTTTCAGACTCCCTATTGTGCTGCGAATAGATATAGAACATAATCATACATTTGCAGTGTGCATTGTCAATGTATATTCGGGTGTGGTTTCTGTAACTTTTTTTTGTCAAGCAACACAACACAGTGATACACGCAGGATGATACGTAAAAGACGAGCATATGGAAACTGATGTTTGTCATTTATTCTGGGGTATCGTTCAAAATGTTTGTCAACCATTCTAAAACTTGATTTGAACAAACATTAGAAATCATTCATTTTTAACATTTTGATAATTTTAACATCGCCTAATATACTACAACTTGAAAAAAAAAATTGTATCCCAAGTATACGTTATGTTAATATTTTTTTTCCTGACAAGTAAACTATGTTACTGTGTTTCAAAAAAACGGAACTGGGAAGTGATTCATTGCACCAGGTTGAAACATTCAGTAAACACACACTCATAATGTCATCACAGCAATACACAAGCAAGTAATGAATACATACCAGTTGGTTGGTTGGTTAAGTGGTAATTAGCAATTTAGTTAAAGGGGATTTAACAAACAAATGTAAGTTGTTAGTTAAGTAAATAAATATTTGTATTGTGATACGATCATTAAGGTAGGGGGGTTAGTATCATGAATAATTATTATTATTAATGAGAGATGATGATAAGCGGCAGTTGATTAGACAGACAGTTAAGGAAATTCGCAAACGTTTTTAAAGGTCAAGGTATACTTTCATGTGAAGATTCTTTTTAATTTGTTGATGGTTACAAAAGTGTGAGAAAAATGCAAGTTTGTTGCTTACTTTTCATAAAGATTGGAAATTATCAACTGACAGAAACTGTCTAGCAAACATGCGTAAAAGTGAATTACTCTAGGAAAAAAAATCACACTAATTTGTACAACAGTTAGATATAATATAATAAGAGTGTAACAACACAACAACAGAGCATCACTGACAACAAATGTACAGAAGCTTTTTCCTAGGAAGCGAAGCGAATAGGTTAGAAGAGTAGATTGACAACATAACTTCGGTATAATACTTAAAACATACACTGGAATTGAAACTTCTGTCCATATTCAAAACGTATGACAACCCATACACACACATACACCATGCCATAGAGTGAAAAACACAAGTCAATATATTGCAGTACCATAAAGATTTTATAATCAGTAGTTAGTAAAGTTATATATAAACGATTTTACAAGTAAACATGAAACAGGATTTATCGTTTACCCGTTTCTTGTTGTTCAAATGCTGGATACTTGGCTTGTGCATCATCCCAAGATTTATTGCCATTAGCAATATCAGACATCAATGAAGGCAGTTCATCCAACTGTGTAAAATAGAACAAAGAGTTTTAAACAAGAAATGAAGACGAATTGACTGAAGTCAAAAAAAATACATATATACATTTGAAAGTTGAACATATTTGTAAATGTGATTTTAGAGAATTTCACTGTGGATCAAAACAAAAATGTACTACTGAAGAGACTGACAATTATGGGAAAAGTGATTAATAACAATTAAAAACGAAAATTCCATATCAAGTCACTTAGAGAGATAATCTCACTGAATGATTTCTTGTCACTCTGATTCCCTGAACAAGTCAGAGAGAGGAGCAGCGAATTTAGACGCTTCAATTTGTTCAGAAGTTCTATTCAATAAATTCCGAATGTGGTCCCAAAGACCTAAACTATCACATCGAATAACTGGAACAGCAAGGAAACTACTTTTCATTTGTTATTACCATAGGAAACTGGACAGTTTCACGAAACATAAAAATCTGAAAATAATACCTGTGCACACTTACCTATAACCTACATATGTTTTCCAACTGTAAATACTGTTTGTAGTAGTATGTTGGCATACTCATTCACTTCTCTATACGAAGTCTCACATCTTGATAGGATTGATAGTCAGGCAACGAGAAATGCCTCTATTTGTATGCACGAAGAAATATAATCGTTCGCATACATGGCGTCCTAATAAGCTAACAAATGTGACTTCGTATTATAAACAGACTGTCGATTCGTATATGATACTAAGTCCCTGTTTCAGTATATATACTACTATATACCAGTCGGACAATAAACGTGCAGCGCATCTCAAATGCAGAAGTCCATGTTATGTCATGGTACTACTGATCGATAGAGGACCTGAAACAACTTTTGCAGAAAAATTACCTAAACTATCTCAGTACTACTTGAAAGTAGTAGAAATCAGAGATTAAAAAAAAACATTTAGAGAAAAATTTGCTAATTTTGTATTGATTAATTTACAGATAGCCAATTTAGACGATATACGGATGTATTTATTATACACTATAGTTTTGCTAATATGTTTTTTATAATTGATAAACATGATTTTAAATTAATTAGTACATAGAAGTTAAAATATCACGTGGATTATGACATGGAGACAATTTGATAAATTAACGGTATCATACGCCATATAACAACGCATTGATCTGAAAATTTAAGCAGAAAAATTTCATGGTATAGTTAAACAATTATATCTTTTTCTTGAAATAACCAGGTTTTATTTTGCGGTACACAATTGAATAAAAAACACGACAACATCATCACATGAGATTATTGTGTATAATTTTGGTGTTTCTTTTTCTAGATAGATATTTAGAGCTAGGAGAAGGTTGAATATCATCAAAAGAAATACATTTCTGAACACTAAGAGCTACTGTAAATATTTGTAGTAAGTAATATGTGATTTGAAAGAACCGAGTATGCTCTAAAACAATAAAATAATGATTCATACTTAATTTCAATGCATTATGACAACACCGCTCGCTATATGGATAAGTTAAGAATTATCAAATAACAAACGATATAATAATTAGATTCTTAGATTTTTAATAAGTCAACTACATTAAGAGCAATTCTGTGAATGAACATTGATATGATGAAACATATATATTGTTAGACTATCATTAGAAACCTGTAAGCACTGGACGGTCGTTTCATCCTAGTATAGGACTTATTATTGAGCAACCACGATTCCTACTCACAGGGACCGGACCCAGGACCTTCGGTCTTGCAAGCGAATGCTTAACCTCCAGACTTTGATCAATCCAAGGTTTTGCGCAACCTCCTCCACTGTTTTGGGATTGAACTCCACTGATTATGGCATATCACTAGAACTCCAAGAATTTATTCAAGAAGCTAGTCACTGTTTAGCATATTGGATACACACTGCTGAAAAGTCCCATACTAGGACGAAACGACCGTCCAATGCTTCCAGGTTTCTTCTAATGGTGGTCTAACAATGACTGATTCATGATTTCAAAGTAAGACATCAATCTCCATAACTCTATAATGAAACAAGTATAGGCCAAAAAGTACATAGAAAATAGACATACTGGTGCGCAAGTTCGATATTACTTCGAATAACACTCAGATTATTCAAAGCATAAAGATCTATTTAGAGTAGTTACAGTGGGATGCATAAATATCTGAAGTTATTTATATAAGAGAAAAATCTAGTTGAGTAGTTGGGCTTTAAAAGAATAACAATTAACATTTTTCATTTCTTCCATGGATTCTTTCAAGACGTTTTAGTCGACATTTTCATGATGAGATAGATTTCCAATGAAGTTTAGATTTCGATTTATATTTCCAGTAATAAATCAACTTATTCGAAAAGTCGACTTGCGAAAAAAAAAATTATTAACTTAAATTAGAATATTAAAATTAGGGATGGTGAGATGATTTCTCATTACTAAATATTAAAAATACTATCTCTTACAGGTACTCTGATTTGTTTCATACTATCACGTTCACGAAGTGTTGCTGAAGCTGGTGACTTATTCAAAGTGTCAAAGTCGATAGTAATTCCGTATGGGATAGCAATTTGATCTGTACGAGCATATCGTCGTCCAATTGAACCGCTACTTTCATCGATCCGATGTGAAATAGCATATTTAGTCAGCTCTGAAGCTATAAGTGAAACAGAAAATCAACGAAAACATGGGACAAGAAATTAACTGAAACGTACTAGACAAATTTAGAACATGTTCATAAGACAATAGAGAAATTAGGATGTGACAAATATTCAAGAGGGGCTGGCTGGCTTAACCACATCATTCCCACATTGGTTTAAGCGTAGGAATACCAATGAATGTAGATACTTCCTAGAAAAGATATTTCATTCTAACGCCTTCGAAGTGAGCTACGGAAGTAATATAGTTAGTCTAACTTGAAACATATAGGTGCGATTAAGCTTGAACTTTCTAAAAGCTGACAATTTCGTGAATGTGGATAACAACCAGTAAACTGGTAGTTTGACTAAGGAATACAATTTCGAGCGCGAAATAGAAGACAGCAATTAGAATACATACTCGAGAGCGAAACCGAACAGTTGACTGTAGAGATCTTATATCTTCGTACAGTGTTTACGAATAATAACCAGTAAATTCAACGCTGATATCCGCTAACAAACGAGAGGTTAGGAGACAACATTACTAAAAATAACAAACCAATTGTGGAAACACAAGTAATGTTTGTTTTCAAATGCTACGTGTCACAAACCAAAACAAATATTTATAAGGGAAATATATAGTGGAAGGCCAAGAAGAGGTCACTGGTTACAAATCTCCATATCAATAACTTATAGATAATAAACACCATATATCTTGAGAATGAATCAATTTTTTGCATTAATACTGGCAATGTCATCCATGAATAACTACTGTTTTCCAGTTATTCAGCATGAGCAAACTTATCAGGATTATCCAATTGATTCTCAATCAAGTCAAGTCAACAACAATATAGAACTTAGTACGTATGTACATCAGTTCAATTCGCCATACTACATTAGCACACAGAGTGATGCAATTGTCATTTCAAATCCCATAGTAGTAGAGGTAGTAAAAGTATTAGCAGTAATCGGGGAGATTAGAGTTCGATGATATTATTCGAGAAGTAGAATCTAGTGGAAGAAATCTAAAAAGAATGATAAAGGCGATGAGGAACTCCGAAGGTTAGGATTTTTAAGAGAACATAAAGAATGAATTCACCTGCACCACTGTAAACGGTTTTGAGCCATGTCATTCAGGGTCTGTAACCATCGATTAATATCATCTAGCTGGTCCCAACCAGGTAGTCGACACCTACCGATGTGACTCAGTCTCTACTTGTCAGTGACTTCATGTTTTGGTCTGGCGGCCCCTAACTTTCTTCCAACTTATTCCTACATCACATTACATAGCTCGACGAGGTAGTCAGTCGGTGGTTAGACATACGAAACAGTTTATTCTAAAAGGTTTAGAGTTAACAAGAGAAAAGTAAATATATTTATAGAAATTCTTAAAAATTAACAAAAGAGTTATTTATCAAAAAAAAAGCATCATATCATTAAAAGATAATTATAAAGTGTTTATTTTTCTCAGCATGTTCTACAACAAGATAATAAAAAAATAATAGAAGCATGAATTTTTATGCTTAACAGAATTAGTTTTTTTTTTAGAAAAAAAAAGAATATCCCGTGTTGTGTGTTACATCAAAAAAAAATGATTGCTTGATTGATTGATTGATTAAAAATTAAACATGATCAGAAATCTATCTAATCTAAGAAGGAGAAGAAAAAAAAAGAAAGAAGCACTTACATAACTTGCGAACAACTGGAGTGAAATCAGCATGATTTGACAGTGGTAGTATGGAACATTTATACGGTGCCAATATCGGAGAGACAGATAAATACTTCAATACAAAATAACAAAAGAAAATAGTCACAGTAATAATAATAATAATAATAATAATAAAAATAATAATAATAATAGTAATAATACTTATAATAATCATCATCATCATCATAGTAATAAGTGAATGTTGAGAAAGCAATACACTTACTTAATAATCATGGAGTGGTATTATTCACAGTACAAAATAAGTAACAATTCAATTAGTTTGTGCATAACACAATAGAAAATAAAACTGTCAACTTATATGGTGGATATGAAGACACTTTAACAACAACAACAACAACAATAAATAGAGAATGTGAAAATACATGCACATTCAGAGAATATTAAGCCAGCTGAGTTTAAATAAAAGTACTCTAAACACATGGATGGATACTTAGACTGTTAGTAAACGATACAGTTAAATATATATATATATATATATATATATATATATATATATATATATATGTATGTATCGATAGTAGGAGTAAATTATGAGAATAACTGATGTATAAAACTAAAAAAAAACAAACCAACATGATTAATTTTTTCACATGTAAACGAAATTAGCTTTTTTTATTATGTGAACAATGAGAATGTTTAGTTACTACTATTAGCTGTCTAAGCCCCTTGATAATTGTTGGAGGATGTTAGATCCCCAGAACTCGCTTGATAAATGTCTTAATTTTGGATTTTATTCATGGGTTGGTCAGTTGACCTTGAGATCAAATTTCCCACCAAGAAAATCCTTTGCTGTGATTGGTTGATGTGTTATTTTAGTATGTTATTTTGTGACTCTCCCAAGGACGTTTCTATGATGTATAAATAAACGCGATTTGTGTGATTGAGTTCATTGTAATTGTTGGATGTTTGTAGGATATACTTTCTACGTCATATCAAGACCTCTGTCTTCAGTTAGTTGGGAGAACGGATCAGAGTAACCTATCGTGTCACTAGGTCAATGTCTTGTTCTCGTTTATCGACTAAGGTGAACTTGTAATAGTTTCAAGCATATCAAATGACGAGCATAACAATGATAATAATAGTAAGCTGAACAAACTAAAACCTAGAAAATAGTGTTTCAGAAGTAATGTGGAGGGGCACAACAAAAAGATACAACAATACTCAACAGTACAAAAATAGATTAGACTTGACTAGTTTACTGATGAGAAAAGTTGTTTTTTTTCATTGTTATTTGCAGCAACTGAGGAGATTAGCTTTTTCATTGTTTAACTGTACAGGATTATTTTGATGAAGAGAAATGATACTGCTACGCTGAGAATGTTTTGTTTTTAAAAAAATATTTTGAAGCTCATAAAAAGGTATCAATGGGGAACAGTATTTTTATAACGAAACTAACATATCATAAATTAATTTGAACGTATCAAAATGTATACTTCATCAGACATCAACTGATCAAGGCTCATTAGACTTCCAAGATGAGTGAACTGATCAGCACACTTAATTAATTCACACCCTAATCTCTAGTTCAGGTGTCGATGCAGATCAAACTTGAAGCGAAATTTTGCATTAACAATGAAAAACACATCCCTAACATACTAGTATTGCTGTTGAAGGTGATCAATAGATAGCATTTTGTCAGTCAGTCAATCAGCTACAGCGTAAGACTTCGTATATACGTACATCAGTGCAAGTTGCCATATATCATTAACACAGAGATGCAATCGACTATTCAAATCTCATTGGGGTAGATGTAGTAGAAGTATTAGCAGTAAATCGGAGAGATTAGGGTTCGAAGATATTATTTAAGAAGTAGAATCTAGTGAAAGAAGCTTAAAAAGTAAAAGATGATGAGGAATTTAAAAGGTTAGAATTTGAGAGAAGCCACTTTGCGCAGCTTAGATCAACAAATGAATCTTCTAGTAGATTTATTCTTGAAAGAGGTAGGTGATGAGAGAGTTATATCTAAAATAATATCTTTGATATGGTTAGATAAAAAGAGTGAGGGCGAACAACTTTAACAAATACCATACGAAGCTATCGATCACTATTAGTTAGCCATAAGCATTGACCCAATTACTAGTGTTCGAGTAGGAAGTAGTTACAATGTTGGTGTACAAATGAAATAATACTGTATAATTTGCAAATTATATAATCTTTTTACAAGGTGATTAATCACTAAGTAGTAATCTATTTCATAACTGTTAAGTCTTTCTTAGTGTTGATTGAGTCTTATCGACCAAATTCCAAGATGACCACCAGTCCAAGTGACTTGGTATTATGCGCAACCAAACTGAGGTGTGAGGCGGTGATTTGAAGTAGTCGGTAGGAAGCTCTGGACTTCAGTTCCATGCTGTTTCGTATTGATCAGCAAGTTGAACCTATAATCTTGAAGGAACTGATGCTCCCTGAGAAATTCGATCCTCTATTAGCCAACTTCACAGTCAGAAGTGTTAACGCTGAAGCATCAGTTTTCTCAAGATTAGACACACCTTGCTAATGAGTGCCAAAAAGCATTAAAATCCCCCTCTAATCTACATAATCATTAACATTCAACAGTAAATATAGAATTTTTTTATAAAGAATAAACTGTTCATTACAGAAATTATCAAAAGAGAACATTTTTTTGCGCAGAGAATTTCCAGAGGGATCGAAATTACAGAGTAGTAGAATTAAATCACAAGTAAAATGTTGTTCCTGTTAGAAAAAGGTACAATCTATTGGTGTGAAACAAAATATTCCGAAAAAAATAACCGAAGAATAATTTTAAGGAAGCAACTTTTATTATTAATAATAGTGTATCAAGTGGACATAGGATCATCACAAGAGAAATTGAAAAGTACACAATCCCTGGCACATGATACTAATCCCTCTCTCTCTCTCAATCGTGACAATATACTGAAATCTAATTGAATAACGTGAAATGGAATTATTTAAAGTTAGAATTACAGATCCAACTGAAATATGAATATTGATTATGATACTTTGTTTATTTTTTTTAAAAAAAAGAGGAACGAATTACACAGTTGATACTTAAATAATGTAGATTTGCACAATTTTATAAATTAACACTCTATATTCAGTCAGTCAGTCAGTCAGTTGCAACGTAGAACTTCGTACGTATGTACACATTAGTTCATGTTGCCATACCACATTATTAGCACAGAGACGCAAATGTCAAATCAAATCCCATAGTGATAAAGATGGTAGAGGCATTAATGTTATAATAAAGAAGACTAGGGTTTAAGATATTATTCAAAAAATATAATTCAGTGAGATAAGGTTAGAAAGACAAAGGTTGAAGTGCTGGCTAATCCAGAAGATTAGGATTTGAGAGAGCTCAAAGAGTGGATGCACCTGCGCCACTGCAAACGATTTTGAGCCATGTCATTCAAGGTCTCTAACCATTGATGACTTTCGTCTCGCGGACCCCAACCAGGTAGTCTACATCTACCAACATGACTCAGTCCACTTGTCAGTGACTTCATGGATTTGTGCCATGTTTTGCTCTGGCCGCCCCTAGCTTTCTTCCAACCTACTCCTACACCACAAAACATAGCTCGTCGAGGCAGTCGGTGGTTAGGCATACGTAACACGTGTCCCAACCACCTCAACTGATGAAGTTTCACCACTTCATCGATTGATCTGCCATCCTTACCTAGTACTCGTTTCCTAACGACAGCATTGCTTACTCGGCTGTCCCACGATATACGAGCAATGCTTCTTAAACATCTATGATCGAAGACTAGTAACCTACGAACATCTTCTACTCTTAACGGCCATGTTTCACAGCCATATAAGAGAACGGAACGAACTGCTGCGCAGTACACCCGCCCTTTGGTTAGCGAACGGATATCACGCCTACGCCATAAGTGACGCAGATTGGCAAAAGCCAATCGAGCTTTCTGTATCCGAGCTGAGATTTCGTCAGTCACCAGGCTATCAGCGCTGATGAGACTCCCGAGATAAGTGAAGCGGTCTACACGTTCGACTACTTCACTCCCTATCACTAGTTCAGGTGCCGAAGCAACCCAGTCTTGAAGCAACATTTTGCATTTCCAGGGGGAAAACCGCATCCCGAACATGCTCGCATTGTTGCTTATGGTAGTCAGAAGACTCTGCATTTTGTCAGCGTCTTCACCGAATAGAACTATGTCATCGGCATATTCTAGATCAGTAAGCGACTTTCCTGGTAGAAGGTCAACCCCTGAAAAATCTGACGAGCTTAATGTTAACTCTAAGAGGATGTCTACGACAAAGTTGAACAAGAATGGAGAGAGTGGACAGCCCTGACGGACACCACTTGATGTAGAGAATTCAGATGACAGTTCGCCATATGCTCTCACCCGACCAGTGGTGTTCGAGTAGAGTGCTTGTATAAGGTTAATGTACTTGTTTGGTACACCTTTCAATGACAGACACTGCCACAGAACCTCACGATCCACTGAGTCGAATGCCGCCTTAAGGTCCAAGAACACGACTATTGTCGGACGTCTAAATGTGTGTCTGTGTTCCAGGACCTGTCGTAGTGTGAAGATGTGGTCTATACAACCAAGTCCAGGTCGAAAACCAGATTGGTTTTCTCTAGTCTGCTCTTCGCGAGCTCTAGTTAGACGTCTAAGTATAATCGAGGCTAACAATTTAGAAACTATATTAGTTAAACTTATTCCCCTGTGATTGTCACAAGAGGACTTCTGTCCTTTCTTGTAGATTGGGACAATTAGCGACTGAGACCAGTCAGATGGGATTACGTCTATTTCCCAGATTCTACCTAGGATCTCGGTCAGTTTAACCGTTAAAACTGGACCACCATCCTTAAACATCTCAGGGGTAAGCCTATCGGGACCTGCCGCTCTACCTCTCCTTAGATTTCCTATAGCTTTCTCAACTTCATGTAAACTGGGAGGACTTACGTCGATTTGCCATTCAGGATGACTGGAGATCGTGGGCAACCGAAGAGTGGCTGAAGGCCAGTTGAACTGATCCCTAAAGTGTTCTGCCCATCGGTCCAGCCTCCTAGATTGAGAATGGATGATAAGACCATCCTTTTCCGAG